AGTAAGTACATGTAAAGTGAGCTCATAGAAATGGGCAAAGCACAGTGCCACAATCCCTGAACAGCTAATGCAAAGTAACATTATTTGCCTCTTCATGACAATTGTCATTCTTACATGCTATCAAATAATTTCCTATAAGTTAATGCATATGGGTTAATACCTTCCAAAGAGTCTGTCATTAATATTCTTGCTCTGCTCTTCTGAACTAAAAAAATATGGTTTCATTGACCGAGTCATTCAGTCTTCTGCTTTTCCTGCTTCCTTTGGCTTGTCTCATCTTTATTGTCTTATCCCATCTTTATTATCTTTTATGAGTCTTGTTTTCTCATAATGCACCCGAAGTATGATTGCCTCAATGTACCGTATTTTTCCATGTATAAGACTATACTTTTGTCTAAAATCCTTAGACTAAAAATTGAGAGTCGTCTTATTCACAGAAGTAAGTTGAGGAGAGAACAAAAACAAGTGGAGGGGAAAGCAGGGTTCAAAGTGATCCTGCAGGGCTTTGATCCCTTTCCCCCTACACTTGCTAAGCCCCACTTATTTTTCTTAATTTTGGATTAGAAAAGTGGGGGGGGCGTCTTATACACGGAAAAAATACGGTAATCATTTTAAGTTCCAGTGATAGTTCAGGATTGGTTTGATTTAGCATCCATCTATTTGTCTTTCAAGCTATGAAGATGAATAATAATAATAATGTGCTGTCAAGTCAATTCTGATTTATGGTAATCCTTCTAATGGTTTTCTAGGCAGAGAATAGTCAGAAGTCTTCTTCTGGAGGCACCCTGAGACTGTGCAGCTTGCTCAAGATCACACAGGCTGCCTGGGAGGCACAGTGGGGAATTGAATTCTCTTGGGAGGCACAGTGGGGAATTGATCTCCCACCCTCTGGCTCCGCTACCTAAACCACTGAGCTGGGATACGCATGGTAAGGGAAAACATTTAGGTTGGTACGTGCTACAACTCACAGAATCTGTGGCAAACTGTAGGATTCTGGGAGCTGTGACTGCTACCTAAACCACTGAGCTGGCCAGCCAGCATGATTAGGAACCTAAATGCAACCTCGGTTACACATGGTAAGGGAAAACATTTAGGTTGTTAGGTGCTACAACTCACAGAATCTCTGGCAAACTGTAGGATTCTGGGAGCTGTGATCCAGAAAAGTAGCTTTTCACACAGTTCTTATGTAATTTGCATGACTTTTAGTGTGCCCTTGGTTGCAAGTGACAATTCTAGATTGGATCCACCATGTATTTCCTGTGGAACAAAGGACTTCCCCAATTTTGCAGTATGTTTTTTGTTCCAGGGCAGAAATGGAGGGGGCAGAAACTGTCCTCAGCTTCCCATTACCTTCAGTCTTCTCTGCTCCCCCAAATCTGCTCTGGAGGGTTGGGGGACCCTTTGAAGAACTGGGTGCAAATGGCACTGGGACTGAAAAGGGAAGGGGAGATCAGTGAAAATGGCCTGTTCCTCCTGATTACTGCCCCCAATGCATGAAAGGAAGCTTAATCCAGCCCAATGGTTTTATTTAGTCAGTGCAGTTATCATTTAAAACATTGTAAATCTCCAACCTTTGACAAACATCACTCAAAATAAATAAAGGACAAGTATCAAAGCTGGAACAAGAACATCAATAAAACTGTCTGCTCACTGAAAGCTAAGCATAATTGTAAATTTTAAAAAGGTAGCTGTGCTGATCCAGGAGCAAGAGAAATCCATAGTTAAGGAATTCCTTTATTACAACCATTTAAAATGTACATTTTTGCAGCATTTGGGTTGGCCGTACAAAAGATTGTAGTTTTCACAGTCTTAATGTGGTCACAGCTAAAGTCCAATAAAATAAGATTGCCTTGCCCTGGTGATAATGCTGGTCCTGGACAAACCACACATGGAAGGGCATTTCAGAGCTGAGGAGCTACCCCAAAAAAGGCCCTTCCCATATTGCCACCTGCTTCACCTCGGAAGGCAAGGAGATTCAAAAGCATAGTCTCTGAATGATAGAAAGGGAGTCGTCGTTCCTTTTAGAGACCCTGGGTTTGTTTGTAGCTTAGAACTGTAAATCAAAAACCACACCAGGAGGTATTGCTAGTCTTCCAGCATAGGTTTGGCCCTCCAAGAGGCACATATTTCAGACCTTCTTTCTGCAACTGCCAGGCCTTCCAGGGCTCTTGGCAGGCTTCAGTCTACACAGAGAGCTCAAGACCTTTGTTTTGCATTGAATCTACAGTATCTCTGTCTTACCTTACTCGCAGTCTGCACCATAGCTTGATTTTGTATGTTTGGCGGGGGCTTTTTGCCTCTTCCCTACCCCCTATGTTTTTAACCATCTGTGCCAAGAGAACTCTTCTGGAGAGCTCAAAAACGTGCCTTGTCTGAACCTTTTACATATCCAGTAAAGATATTATTCTAGCCAGAATGTTGTTCTTTCTCTCCTGTATAAGTCTTCATACTAATTTCATTCTGCAAGTCAGCCGTTCATTATATTCCATCAGTGTGGGTGTTAAGAGTCCCCTGGTTGCTCCTAGAAACAGGGTTGCTACCATGAATGCCCCCAGGTTCAAGGAACAATCTGCTGACAATCATATGGAGCTCTGCAATTGTCTTTGGAAGGAGATATGCCAGTTCTGGCTGGCTTACAGTCTGGCTAACTCTGTTATGAGTAAGAATGAGTGACTAAAAAGTGACCTATAAATGCTTTGAATTAATGCATTTTCAAGGAAAACATTTGAAAAGCCTTTGAAACTTAGGAAGCCGCCTTATACCAAGTCAAGCCAGTGGTCCAGATAGCCCAATATGACCAGCTCTGATCGGCAGCAGGCCTTCAGGTTTTCTGACAGGATTGGTTCCTGGTCCTACCCAGAGAGCCCAGGTAGTCCCAGGTGGTCTCTCCTTTAAACACACACCAGGCCTGATCCTACTTACCTTCCTAAATTGGATGAAACTAGGTGTATTACAACAGCTTATTATTTTTCTAATAATATTTCACAGGGAGATAATTTGGGGGGAAACACCCCAATAGTATTTATTAAGGTACACTATTGAAAACCCATGAGAGATCTACCAGAACTTTAAGGTCTTTAGCCAGTTTCAAACTGTCTATTTAACAATTGTAAAGTAAGATAAAAATGTGATGTCATGTAGTAAAAATAATCTTTATCAACAATCAATAGCACTCAAGCTGTCACACTACCTTTCTTGAAAGCTCCGTTACTAAACAAATAATCATACAGGTTTCTTTTACTTATTCTGTGGCAATGAGAAAAGGATATGACACATAACTTTGAAAACCCTGGTTTTCTCTATTTTTTCCTATGCCTTAGAGAGCTTTCTTTTAGACCAAAGTTAAATCCATGCACCCTAAGACTGCAATCCTTGGAAGTAATATCTATTTAAATCAATGAGACCTACTTCCAGGTATATCTGGGAGTGAGACCCTCTGAATTAGATTGAACTTACTTATGAGTAATCAGAGGATTGAACTGTAAGACTGCAATAGTCTTACAAAGCAAATATCTGGAAGCAAATATCATTGATTTAAATAAGATTACTTCCAAGTAGATCTGCAGTGTAGGCAATGTCACTGTGAAAGTGACTTTGAAAGGCAGGCTGTATCAGAAAAATTACTGAAAGCTGTAGCCTAAACACTTTGCTTGCTTCACTACCAAACTTTTCATAGTTAGTGTGCTTGAGCAATTTGCATAACCAAAACGAATCCAAGACAGAAACAAAAGTACTGTATTGTGACACCTTAAAGGCTAATCTATGGCTAAATATTTCACTGATATCTGAGCAGAGCAGTTAATAATAGCACATTTTGGAGAGAGCTCACTCATATGGTACTCATAAATTGAAGACACGTAATAAAAAACAACAAATATCTCAACCTGTTATATTTGAAGGAAGCTTTATTTCTTCTCACTTTTTTGGTCATACAAAATTTAAATCTGTTTGTCTTTAATGTCCCAAAATACTTTCTTTGTTTTATTTGGGGCCTCTATCAGAATTATTGTTTTTCTCCTGTATAGCAGAAAAAAAACCATTTCCCCCCTCGAGTTTGGGGGAAACTTTATGTATGTACACACAGTCTGTGCCTCTTTCCAGTAGGCAGGCAGGCAGACAGACAGACAGAGACCTGTCTCCAGCAGGCAGGCAGGCAGGCAGGCAGAGATAAAGGTAAGAGGAGGTGGAGAAAGAGAGTAAGACATGCGTTTGAAGTGGAGTAAAGGTAAGAGGAGGTGGAGGAAGAGAGTAAGACATGCGTTTGAAGTGGAGGTTGCGATCCCTTCTGCCACAGGCTATCCTGCGCTTACAGTTCCGTGAAGGTGGCTGTAGATCATCTTAAGATTTGCGGCGCGTACCTGCAGGAAGAAAGGTCAGAAAATCGGTGGAAAGGAACAAATCCCAAGGGATACTTCGGTGCCAGCTAATGAGGCTGCCAAAGGGAGCAGGAGAGAGAGAGAGAGAGAGAGAGAGAGGCGGGCACAGTGCACGTTACCCGATGGCTAGATTTCAGGACCTCAGAGAGCTCCGGGAGGGCGTCGCTGCGCGCGCACCTTAAAAGCTGCCAGGGGTGGCAGAAAGCGTTACAACTGCACCAGAGCAGGAGGAAGCAAAGACTTGACAAGTGTAGATGACCGACTAATTGAAGTATTAAAAAAAAAAGAGAGAGAGGATACCTCCTTCTTTCAAAGATAACCCTAGAAGGCTGGAACGCGAACATCCATCCCCTTCTTTCAAAAATAACCCTAGAAGGCTGGAACGCGAACATCATAGCCACTCACACACCAGCCCATGCAGGCATCTCGGAAAGGATCTGCTCCTGAGAAGATCAACCGAATGGTAAAGTAGCGGCTGCCTCGGAAAGGATCTGCTCCTAAGATCAACCGAATGGTAAAGTAGCGGCTGGGTCACTTTCTTTCGAAGGCTAGTGGGAGGGCGGGGTGTCTATAAATCGCCGCCTGCTTTGGGGTTGCTGTGCTTATTTTGCAAATGAAAAAGAGCCGTGACTCTCCCTCTCCCCTTTCCTTCAGAAGGCAAGGCGGCTGCATCTTTTTTTTCCCCCTTTCGTTAACCCACAGATTCCTCCCCGATGACTTTAGCCAGCTCCGGCAACAACCCCAGGGAGAGGCTCCTCGCTCGTTTGGCGCCCGAGACTGTGTTGGCCGCCAGGTTAGAAGACCTCCCCTTTCGATCGCCAGAGCCTTGCCAGCGTGGGTGCGGTGGGACGAAAGAGAGCAAGAGGTTTCCTCCTGCGATGGGATGGGTGCCCTCTGTGAATACAGCTACTGCTCTCTAGCAGCCGGCATGAAAGACGCCAGCGCGGGGGATTTCCTGGACGCCTTCCCCGCCTCCAGCCTCCTGGAGGAAAGGCTGGTGGGCAACGGAACCAACGAGTCCCTCCCGGAATTCTGGAGGAGCCTCGTCAACTTGGAGAGGGCTGAGGGGGTGCGAGGGAGCGCCTCGATTGTCCTGCGGATCTTCCTCTCCATCGTCTACTCCGTGGTGTGCGCCCTCGGGCTGGTGGGCAACGTGCTGGTGCTGTACTTGATGAAAAGCAAATGGAAGAAGTCCTCCATCAATCTCTTTGTGACCTGCCTGGCCTTGACCGATTTCCAGTTTGTCTTGACTTTGCCCTTCTGGGCGGTGGAGAATGCTTTGGATTACACCTGGCTCTTCGGCAACGCCATGTGCAAGATCCTCTCCTACGTGACGGCCATGAACATGTACGCCAGTGTCTTCTTTCTCACGGCCATGAGCATTGCCCGCTACCATGCGGTGGCATCTGCCCTGAAAAGCAGAAGGCAAGGAGGGCTGCCCGGCGGCTCCTTTCCGGCCAAATGGCTGTGCGCGCTGGTCTGGATCTTGGCCATTCTGGCCTCTCTGCCCACTGGCATCTTCTCCACCGTCACCAATCTCTTGGGCGAGGAACTCTGCCTGATCAGGCTCCCCGACAAGCAAGGCAGCAATTTCCGGCTGGGACTCTACCAAGCCCAGAAAGTCCTCTTGGGTTTTTTGTTGCCTCTGAGCATCATCACCTTTTGCTACCTTCTGCTGGTGCGCTTCATCAGCGACAGGCACGTGGGCGCCAGCTCCTGCGGCCCAAGCACGAAGCGCCGGACCAAAGTGACCAAATCGGTGACCATCGTGGTCCTGTCCTTCTTCCTCTGCTGGCTGCCCAACCAGGCGCTCACCACCTGGGGGATCCTCATCAAGCTGAACGCCCTGCACTTCAGTTATGCCTACTTTGTCTCCCAGGCGTACTTCTTTCCCATCACCGTGTGCCTCGCACACTCCAACAGCTGCCTCAACCCCATCTTCTACTGCCTCATGCGCAGGGAGTTCCGCAAAGCACTCAAGAAACTGCTCTGGAGGATCACATCGCCCTCGGTCACCGCCATGCGCCCTTTCACAGCCACCACCAAGCCCGAGCAGGAGGAGCAGGTACTGCATAGTCTGATGCCTGCAAATCCAGCAAGTAGTAGTTGCCCTCCTGCTCCTCCAGCAGCTGTTGCAGCTGCAGCTCAAACCATGCCAGACATGAATCCAGCAAGTAGTAGTTGCCCTCCTCCTCCTCCAGCAGCTGCTGCAGCTCAAACCCTGCCAGACATCATTTCCTATCCGCCCGGCGAAATCCAGCAAGTAGTAGTTGCCCTCCTGCTCCTCCAGCAGCTGTTGCAGCTGCAGCTCAAACCATGCCAGACATCATTTCCTATCCGCCCGGCGTGGTTGTGTACAGCAGCCGCTCTGAGCCCTTGCCCAGCAGCACCTCTGCTGAGCTTCCCTCTTAAACCTACGGAACCATGGCATAGAGGGAAATGGGGACTGTTCCTTCTCTCCAGGGCCAGTAGATTGACAGTAAGAGGGAGTTCTCACTGTATTGAACCGCACCTGGGATTGGCTCTTATCTGGGTCGAGAAGTGGCCAATGGAGCAGAGGTAAATTTGGAAGTTCCGGGGCTCATCATTCATGACATTTCCAATATCCAACCCCTCCCTGAGTGAAAATGCAGCCAGCCAGATTCATCCCACATCAAGAAAGGAGTATTATAAGTTTTTTGTTTCCACTACGGGCAGGTCTTTTGCAAAACTAATAGCTCTTAACTGCCTATTAAAAATAAATCAACTTTGCATTATAACAGGGTTAGGAAGCAATGATATGCTGTTCCTAGAAAATCCATTTCTCTCACTCCTGTTCTCCCAGTGGTGGTTGCAGCTAAACTCAAAGAGAACAAGGAAACCTCCAGTGAGGCGCGGCAGACAACATAATAGTACCTGCCAATGAGAAAAATCCTAAGGCTTTGCTCCTGGCTGCACTATACCAGTGGGAATGGGGCAGCATTTATAAAAATGGGCTCCTCAAACTGCTTAATAAAAACCGCCCAAGAGGGAGGGGAGAGAAAGGGAAAGTTTGTGTAGGACTCTTCTGTTATTCCAGGGAAATGTTCCTCACTAGAGAAAGGGCAACCTACAAACGACACTAGACTAGACGAGAAGTATGTTGGGGACTCCTATCACTGAGAATTAGATGGTGTAACCACTCTGGGAATAAGGTGCACAGTTCAGATCAGCCTGCCTTCAAAAGGGTATTGTAGAGCTTGAGAAAGTCCTGCTAAATAATCAAGGAGCCCCCTCAGGAAAGGAAACTTTGAGCGATTGAGGTTTGCAGAAGAAGTGGGCGCCTTTTTAGGGGGGGGGGGGGGAAACGGCCAGTCAGGAGGGCAGAAAGAATAACAATACATAAAAGTTATGCATGTTTGTGGTAAATGTGTAGGAAGAAGCTTTTCTCAATTTCTTACAATACTGGATCATGGGCTGACATAGATTCCCGTGGAAGCTGCTGCCACAAGGTGTAGCGAGAGATGACAACTTGGATGGCTTTCAAAGGAGCTTAAAGAAATTCATGGCAAACTAAGGGATTACCACCCAGCATTGGAGAAACTAGGATCTTCCTATTAGTTCCTAAGGAACATGAAAAGGAGGACACTCCTGTACTGACGAAACACTTGTGAGCTTCCATCTAGCGCAGCTGTTTGGTCACAGCAGGATCTTAGCCTAGATGGCATTGGGTCTCCTCCAGCAGGGATATTTTTACATGAGACATCCCTTTGCTGAAAAGGATACACAGGGACTGTCTTAAGGAGGTGAGTTTCTGGACTTGACCATCTTGGGAACAAGCTGTGTGTCTCTGAGTACTGCCATCACACCAGAAATGGCATTTGTCTATTTCATTTCCCATTAGGAAAAGGCAACGTTTAGATGGGTGGGGTCATAATTTTCTCATCCTGTTGGGACAAGAGGGCTTTTTATGTAAGAAGCATCATCAGATGATTCAGTTCCAAGTGGGAGAAGATTGTACATTTATACTCAGCAGCTGCTCCTGGAATAATCCCATCCTTAGGCTTGAAGCATGCTCCATGTTCTGATATCCCATAGTAGCACCTGTGCTCAGGCTGAAATCTGAGAGGTACCCAAATCCTGGAAGTGTTCTTTCTAAATTACTAGCCACTCCCCAAATGCCCACCATATCCAGCATGACTGGGCTGGACTGTTGGTGGGTGTTGTGGTCCAAAAAAAGCAACTCTCTCAAGTCCTGAAGATGCTGACATTTAGTGATGGAGGAGAGAGCAAGTCAGAATGAGTCTGTAGTGTTGTTGCATTTCTGGGGCAAACCTTTGAATCCAAAGAAAAGTAAAAAGAACCTAGATCTGTGGCTTCAGAACTTCTCTGCCCTGCTCACGTCCTTCCCCGCCCCCATGATATTTTCCTGTTTCCAGAGCTGTGAAATATATCAGGGACTTTAAAAAGCACAACTAATATCACAAGACCCCTGTTGTCAGATTAGACCAAAACTCCTCTTAGTCTAGCATCTGGTTTCCAAGAGCAACTAGAGAATTGCGCAACTTGGATGTCCTTTCTGATTGGAACTCCTAGAATCTTTCAGCTAGCTTGGCTGTGTTTGCTGGGGGATGATGTAGGAGTTGTTGTTTAGTCATTAAGTCATGTCTGACTCTTTGTGACCCCATGGAGCAGAGCATGCCAGGCCCTCCTATCTTCCACTGCCTCCCAGAGTCAGGTCAAATTCATGTTGGTCACTTCGATGACACTGTCCATCCATCTCGTCCTCTGTCGTCCCCTTCCCCTCTTGCCCTCACACTTTCCTAACATCAGGGTCTTTTCCAGGGAGTCTTCTCTTCTCATGAGATGGCCAATGTATTGGAGCCTCAGCTTCAGGAACTGTCCTTCCGGTGAACACTCAGGGTTGATTTCCTTTAGAATGGATAGGTTTGTTCTCCTTGCAGTCCAGGGGACTCTCAAGAGTCTCCTCCAGCACCACAATTCAAAAGTGTCAATTCTTTGGTGGTCAGCCTTCTTTATGGTCCATCTCTCACTTCCATACATCGCTAGTGGAAAACCATAGCTCTGGCTATGCGGACCTTTGTCGGCAAGGTGATGACTCTGATTTTTAAGATGTAGGAGTTAGGGTTCAAAAATAAATTCTCCAAGCTGGGCAGGTGTCTCTCGGAAGCCCACAACCAATGCACCAGGCACATGCCCTTTCCTGCCAGCTGCTCATCCTTAGTTCTCAATGTTCAGAGATAAACTGCTGTATTCAGCTGGCACAAGTGCTAGTGCTGGCGGAGCTGCCTGGATTTGTCTTTATGACCTGTCTGGAAAAATATTGTATGTACCTTTAAAATAAATCATCCTCGTTGGACATGACTCCTGAAATCTTTCTCTGGTACTTCTGTATTCCTCACTCAAGTCATGAACTGCTTGACTTAAATGGATATAAACAACAGTACTTTTATCCATGAACTTTTTCTCTCCAGATTCCTTATTTGGAGAGAACTCAGCTCTGACATTGTTTGCCACCATTCATCCTCTCCAACTTTGATTTACAGGTAACTCTCCAAGGCTCTTATTGCACTAATCCAAATGACACAGTGTTCGCACGTAAGGGCTGGAGATTGTGCCAAAGGTTGATTGCCGTTGTACCCAAGCATGCTAATTCTTGTACATTAATATGAATCCCAAATGGCTAGGCTGGTGCTCCAAAACTGGAAATAAAGGATGCTTCAATGAAGAAACCCTTGTACCAATTCTCTGTATCAAGAGACAATGCCTTGTTATCTGTGGATGATTAAATCACTATATGCGTAACATTCTTGAGCGTGGTTATTCCTTTGTGCATGAGTATGCATTCAAGTGCTCTTGTGCACTGAACTGTCTGTTTTAGAGTACAGGTTACCTGATCTGACACAGAGGGGGGGGGGAGCAGGCGGGAGGGAGGGAGGGAGCTACTTCCCTGCTGGACCTCAACTAGCTTGATTGTAGCATCGGGACAACAAACTAAGCTCTTTCCAGACACCTGCAAAAGCCTTCAAATCTCCTGTGTGCAGAGAATGCTTTTACTCCATTGACAATCATGCAGGCAGTTTTCATGTTGGTGATATCCGAAAGCTATCACCCCACTGGAGTGAAACCTTATAGAGCCACACCATAGATCCACTTATTTCAAACACTGGCAACTTCAGCAGGTCAAGGGGATGATTTCCCTCCCTTCCTGGGAACTTCTGTAGGTTATCTAATTGATCCTGTGTATCTGTTGTTGTTGCCTCATCATAGGGTAGTCATTTTAAGGAAAGATCAGCAGGGGTTCAGCATTGCCACCTTCTGTGCAGTAATAACAAAAGTTAGCTTGAATGTCACTGTTGTTGCCTCCTCCACCAGTGTCACTTTTAGTTGCTGCTGCTGCCACCCAGTATCTGCCTTGTGTATATATTATTCATTTTAAAACAACAACTGGAAATGTCCAGGAATTCATATCCAATTTCTTTTTTCTTAAAAGCCCCAAATAAACATTTTTCGATTGTGTAAACAGCTCATGGGTTTCCATTCATGTCAATACATGTTTATTGTTTAAATAGTCCAAGCTTTCGATGACAATATCCTGCACCCTCTTCGTCAGGGAAGGCAAGATATCAACTAAAACAAAGCTAACCTTAAATACAACAAGGTGCAGTCAAAACCAGCTGGGTAAACATTCAGGTCAGACTCAGGCAAATAAACATTAAAGCTTACATTTCAAACCCGTTTTCCGTCCTATTAACAAAACAAATGGCCCATCTAGTTAAAGATCCTCTGGGATTCAGAACCCTGGGCATTTATTGAGCACCATGCTGCTGTGGTCAAGTTCACATCAGCTAGACTGGAAGATTTGTTCCAGAGAGAATATCTGAACATTCATGATATATTAGATTACAACATCCAAAAAAATCTGGATTGGCTAAACATTGCATCAAGCATGGTCATCAGCCCCATTGGGATTTGTTATTATTTAGTCATTTAGTCGTGTCCGACTCTTTGTGACCCCATGGACCAGAGCACGCCAGGCCCTCCTGTCTTCCACTGCCTCCCGGAGTTGGGTCCAATTCATGTTGGTAGCTTCGATGACACTGTCCAACCATCTCATCCTCTGTCATCCCCTTCTCTTACCTTCACACTTTCCCAACATCAGGGGCTTTTCCAGGGAGTCTTCTCTTCTCTTCTCATGAGAGGGCCAAAGTATTGGAGCCTCAGCTTCAGGATCTGTCCTTCCAGTGAGCACTCAGGGTTGATTTCCTTTAGAATGGATAGGTTTGTTCTCCTTGCAGTCCAGGGGACTCTCAAGAATAGGGTATAAGTATTGGCCACAGACCAGTCAATTCTGGGATAGAATTATTATTGAGGCTCTCCTATCATGCTAAAACCTGAGCCACATTCCATCAAAAGAGACAGTTATGTTACTTTTAGTGCTTGCTGGAAGCCTTTATGATAAAACTTGAGCCACATTCCATCAAAAGAGACAGTTGTGTTACTTTTAGTGGTTGCTGGAAGCCTTTGTTTTGTATGCCAGGTTGCCCTTATGTAATACAGGTCAGTGTGCGTTACTGGATCGTTAATGTTAATTTGCCTCAGTTTGGTCTGAATGTTTACCCAGCTGGTTTTGATTGTACCTTGTTATGTTTAAGTTTAGCTTTGTTTTAGTTGATATTTTGCCTTCCCTGATGAAGATGCTGCAGGATACTGCCACTGAAAGCTTGGATTATTTAAACAATAAGCATATATTGACATAATTGGAAACCCATGAGCTTCTTATGCCAAAGTATTCATCATGAAAGACTGAGATCTCTAATTTTTCAATTTTACTTTCTGGAGGTTTTGAACCAGACAGAAGAGGTAAGGAGGCATGGAGATTGCTCAGAAATCACAACGGGTTTGAGAACCACTGGCTTAAAACATCCTGGAGGGAGGATATGTCTGCCCGTCAGGAACCAGAACAGGGCACACCTCCTAGGAAGTTAGGAGAGACTGCCACATTTTTTTCTTCGTTCCACTTGCATTTCACATTGAATGAGCAAATGGCATTGTATTTGAGACATCTAGCCCATGGGAAGAGTTTAAGGCAAGATAATCTAATACTCAAATGGCTGAGTGTTTTGCTAGGACAGCACTGGTTTTAACCTTGACCTTACCATTCATTTCATTGCCTCAATCAAGCCAGTCTTGTGCAACCTTCTTCTGACATCTGTTAATATTGCATCCTACCTTTTAGGGTGGATGCTAAGGATTGTAGCAGAACTATTTATGTGAGATGCCTTCAGTAGTATAAAGGGATCTGCTCACAGTAAAGGCTCAGTCAGGTGGGCATTTGCTTCTCTTTTAACTGCATGATGGGTGCAAATTGCTTTGCTTGTACCTTCTGTATTGGAACAAAAACAATATAGAAGGAGATGTAAGCCTTGCTAAGAAACATTTTGCCTTGAGTGAGAGGCAATCACTTTCAAGTCTGAGCAGCCACAATCTGGATATGTCAACTGGACGAAGTATGCTTTACTATAAAAACTTTTGAATTTTTGCTCTTCACTGGACATGAAATTATTGGCATTGCAGGTGCAGTCACGTACGGCCTGTCACTTTTCAAAAGCTGAAGGGAGAAACCTCTTTGTATATATGGACTTAATGAAATCAATGCTCAACCAGATTGTACTTTTATTTTTTGGAGTGACAGGAGAGTATCAACTCTCCAACCAGAAGAAAACCAATAAAAGCCAACAAAACTTTGTTCTTTTGAAATAAATTAAATACAGCCTCATTTCCAGTATATAGTTTAATATTTCCTGACTGTAGTTCTTTTTTGTGCAGTGAAATGGCAGAAGCATACGTGTGTGTGTGTGTGTGTGTGTGTGTGTGTGTGTGTGTGTGAGTGTGAGTGTGAGTGAGAGAGGGGGGGAGCTATTGGCAATATAAGAGTACTTGAATATCCACAGACGGAGATGTCTATAGAAGCTTAAAATTAGCTATCCTCTGACATACAGATTCCTGAGAAGAACTTTTAAGTCCCACTTGACCATAGCATAGGTGTGACTCAGCTTTGTGGCAGAACAAATGCCTTCGTGTTTTGCCAACCCCAAAACAGCAGCAGAAGTGTTACTAGTAGGTGTGTGGTTCTGTGTGCATGTTTTTGCCTCCAACATCCAGAATTATCCAAGAATTCCCCAGCCAAAAATTTGGGAGTTTCAGCCCCCCCACCACACTGACAAGACACCTACATTTCACTCACCTGGAGCATGGCCTCCCTCCAAGGCTTCTGGGCCTTCTGCGTTCTTTGTTTCCTATTATTAATGTAAAAACAAAACAAAAAAAAACCCGAAGCTGCCACAGAGCTTCATTCTTTTTCTGGAGGAACCTTCCACATAGCCTAATAGGCTGTGGGTTTGTGGTTTCCAGGAAGCATCATGATCTCTTATTTTTTTTTCTCCTTTCTTTTTTTAATGTTAAGAACAAAAAATGGAGACCACCATTATTAGAGGTAGACCCTGCTCCAGGTGAATGAAATGTAGGTAGCTGTAAGTTGTGGGTTTGTGGACCGAGACTCCCAGAATTCTCCTCAGAGAATTTTTTGGATGAATTGTAGGAGATGGAAAAGAATCCCCAAAGAAAGAGAGACCACACACCAAGTGAGAAAATGGATTCACTGTAGGCTGGCGACACCAATATTGTGGGAGTCGTGAACCTGCTTTTGGCTTTTAGTCCAAAGATTTAGAGGAACCGTCCAACATGCCGAACCCTATCCCTAAAATCAGCTCAGCACCCTTCCTTGTACTTACTATATTGGGATCTCCCACCCCCAGTTTGTGGTTTCATCATCGAAAGCCAACCTTCTTTCTCCTTGCTTGATCCAAAGGCAGCAGTTTTCCCAACCATCCACTATTTATTGTTTTCATCCACGTAGCGGACAAAACATGCTACAAAGCAGCAGCCGAATAAGGCAATGGCCGAGGCGGAAATCACCACCACCACCACGCTACCAGCAACACTGACCAGGAAGCCCAGACCCACACCAACAAGGATCTGGGCCAGCTGAACCATGCAAGTGAGGGCAGCACAGTCTACTCCTTTGCCTCGGAAAGCACCATCTTCTTTTCCTCTGCTCTGAGTCTGTAACCAAACAAGAAAGGAAATGGAACTTAGACAAATAAAGAAACATGAACCATTCAAGGCAGAGCTTGTATGGGGGACCTGCTCCCACAGCCCCCTAGGTATAAGGGTAAAGTTTGTTTCCCTGCATTGTAATATTGCTAAATAATTTACATTTTCAGATCCTTCTGTTTTCATTTAAGCAAAGGGGAAGGACTCAGAATGAAGCTGGGGGGCATTCTGGAGCATCAGCCAGGCCAGATGTTCTGTCCCTCTTAAGATAAGGAAGAGAGTGAACTTTTGACATGAGTAAACAGGAAAAAGACCTAGAGAATGCAAGTTGTTTCTAAGATTATAACTAACACTCACACTTTTTAAATATACAGTGGTACCTCGCTAGATGATGATAATGCGTTCCACTGAAATCGCTGTCTGTCATGCAGGGTAACTGTCTAGCGAGGCACCACTTTGTCTTCATGAACCATTTAAAGGGCTACATGTTTTGACACAGGCTTGTAGTTTGGGAACCCCCTATTCTCTTGATTGAAGAAAATTCTTTCTGACATGATGTTTGGGGCAAATAGAAGAACTTACAATTCATATGCAGGCAGCATTTTTTTTTCTTTTGCTTGTTCCAACCCTCTGTGAACGCATTGCCTGTTTTTCTGCCTGTTCGAATACATTTATTGACTACCTTGCATTTTGCATCCGTCTTTCTGATCTCACTCGGGCCAAGAGCCATAGCACTTGAAAAATCCACAACCCCCCAGGCACCATGGTGGTTGGAGGATTCTGGGAGCCATAATCTAAAAGAGCAATTTTCTCAAGTGTCCTCTGAAGATGCTGGGCACAGAGACTGGCGAAACGTTAGGAAGAACAACCTTCAGAACACGGCCAAAGAGCCCGAAAAACCCACAACAACCATTAGATCCCAGCCATGAACGCCTTCGTGTATACAATTTTCTCAAACCGTGGTTCAAGGAATCCTGTACTAGGCTGAGCATATCTTTATTTTAGAGCATTATTTCTCTGTCATTTTAATGGTGCACAGCCTGGTGGTCCAGGTCTTTTTGCATTCGTGAGCACAGGGTTAGACAGGCGTGGATGATACAGGAGTCTTGTCCTTTTGTACATACTGCAATCTCTGATACACTTCACTATAGAAGGAGAAATATACATTAGCAGTGGGGTAAAAAAAAGCAAATGATTTAAAAATAATTCCAGTGAAAGGACTTTCTGCTTCTTAGCTCTTTTCTTGAAATTAAATGTCAAATTAGTTCCTTAAAGGAAATGTGTGTGTATTCCTTGAGATTAATCTGGAGGTTTTCCAGAGATCTGTGCCACAGCATCAGACTTGCAAAATAATCTCATGTTTATTTTTCATTGACCAATTGCAAAGCAAAACTGGCTGGATAACTCCGTGAGTCAAAGCAGCCTGGCAGGAGAAGAGCTAACCTCTGTAGCCTTGGACAAACTGCACTATACCATAGTGACCCCAGAAAAAGGGAATGGTAAATCACTTCTGAGTATTCTATACCATTAGGAAACCCCATGAGTCAGAACTGACTTGATACAAAGTAATAATTATTATTGATCATAAAACAAATCAAACTAAATGCAAAATAGGAATGTGAGGGAAAACATGTGCTATGACAAACAGATTGTTTTTACCCTATGAGGGAGCATCACAACTAAATACACGCAAAATATGCCATTTGGTTTCTTTGTCCTGATCCTGGGGTTTATTTCCAAGTCACCAGGCATTGCAGTATTGACTTATCCAATGGTTCACAGACTTTGTTGGGTGCTGTGCATCCACTGTGAAGTGTGTAATGTGGCATCAGAGGATGGATCCTGCCAAATTATCCCTGGGCTGATTTGTACATGGCATCAGAGGATGGATCCGTCCATTTGGCCCTCCCTGCCAAATTATCCCTGGGCTGATTTGTAACACTCAGGCCACAGTGCTGTGCACACTGACCAGAAGGAAAATTCTGCAGAATTCAGTCAGACATCCTTCTGAATAAACACACAGGAGTGTGTTACAATCTGTTTTCATCACTATTTACTCACAGGTAACTCCCATGTAGGATAGATTAGGCATTTCCTGTAAGCATACAGAAGAGCACAGAGTGAAATGTTGTTATTATTCATATCAGTGAAGGTTGTAGGAGGGAAAGAATGGAGGAATTCCTCAGGCAGACCTTCTCACCACGAGTTCTTCTTCATTTATGTCTTGGCTATCCTCATTTACTGCATAGAGATGGGTTACCCTCCAAGTTAGAACAAGGATTCAGCACCAAACAATAAATGCCAACAGCCATACGTTCTCGCTTACCTCTTCCTCCCTGTGATAATCAGCAATGAGGTTGAATGGTACAGTGTATAACGTGCTGGACATGACACCAAATAGGGAACATAGAGCCAGAGTAGAATACACTTTGGGGAAAAGTCCAATAAACCCTGTCCCAAGGCCAAAGAGCAAGTACCCAATGAAATAAAGTCCCTTTAATCCTATGTAAGGTAGAAGGGCTTTCTGCAAGTCTGTTGGGGAAAAAAGAACAGAAGAGGATAGGTTGTTTGTTTTTCCTTTGTTTCTGATTAAAAATATTCATTTATCCTTTCTTCTTGTGCCAAGGCATTCTTTTAAAAACATTTAAAGAAAAAGTGCACTTTTCTTAAAAGATATATTTCTGTAAGAACAGACTGAAAATAGTTCCAAATGCCCCTTTTAAAGCAATCTGTAATGACTGAAGGTCATATAGAACAATATTGTCCTTAAAAAGGAACCATTCCAGCGGTATTTGGACATTACAGGGTGAAGTGACTGGGTCATTTGCTGCATTTTTAACACAGTAGGATAGCAACACCATTTGCACACCTCTGGAATCCAGATGCTTGTTGCATAACCTGGAAACCCAGGTTTCAACAGCCCTAAATGTTTGCTGTGGGATTTCTGATGGGAAAAAAATGAGGATAAAGGGTTAGCTATTGGAAGGAGCACTTCCTCTCATATCATTCTCTGGTCTAGAATTTCCCTGACATGTGAATATGCTTGAGAGCCATAGATAAACACACATCAGAAATCTAGGAAGAACCCAGTTTGGCAATACTCACAGGAATAGAGTGAGGAAGAAACTGCATTGATGCACATCCCCCAGCATCCAATCTCTACTCCCCTTTCATAAGTCATATATTCTGTGGAGTTATGAGGTGCATAAGGATCACCACTGAATACAATCTGCAATGCATCACCAAAAACAAAATAAAACGAAAAATGAGAAATAAGGACTGATTTCTCCATGGGTCCTACTTCTAAATTAAACAGCCCATAAAGCATAAGAGAGAGAGACCTAGGGGGAAAAAAGCCATGAAAATATAATAACAATACATCCACTTTGACCTTGGGACTGTCCAATGCAGCTGGGCCCTGCAACCAGAGGCTGAAAGAGTTCCCATTTGTAAGACACCTCCTAGAATTTGTTTTGCTCCGGCTGGAAAATAGAAAGTTGCCTTATGCTGAATAGTGTCCTCATATTGTTTAATCTGGTGCAGGGAGTCATTGGCAGCAGATCTCCAGTGTCCCTGGGAAGAAATTTTCCAGCCCTGCCTGGAGAGGCTTATGATTGGACCTGTGATCTTCCACATGCAGAACATGTGCTCTGTTTACTGAACCACAGCCCCATGTCAAGATATAAAGGCCAAATTAGCACTTCATTAGAAGTGTCATTTCACGCGTCATTATCAGCAGTATTAGAAGCTTTCCCTGGAGTTCTCTTCTGAAAGATGTTTAGAACCACACAATTTTGCCAGCTGTTTTAAAGAGGCTTTGAGGTTTTCCAGTTGAATTTTATTCAGCGCTCCTATATGAAATTTACTGGGGAAGACATTCCACCCAAATCAAAACAATTGTACTTTGGGTAAATGTGCATGCAGTTGCACTACCCCTGCATTTATTTGATGTTGATTATTTTAATCAGAGATGGGAAAGGTTATGTTTTTGAACTACAGTTCTAAATAACCCAGGCAATATTTTTGAAGTTGTAGTTTTCAAAACTTGTTTCCAATCTCTGGTTTTAATTATTCTTTTGATATCTACCGGTCAGAAGGTGCCTGGAAAAAGTGGAGGTCCAACAGCTGGAAATACTGGAGCCCAGTTCCTGCCATTGATCAGGCTTTCCCCCAGCACAGGAATAGCATAAATATATCCAGACATTAACTAAGCATTATTTCAAGAATGAACCTCCAATTCATATATCTCTTTTTCCACTCTTGACCTTCCTCCCTTCATATTAAAAATTTCCAATCCTAATTTCTACTAAACCATAGCAGTCTCCCAGCACAGGAATAGTATAAGTATATCCAGACATTATTACAAGGCATTATTACAAGAATGAACCTCCAATTCATATATCACTTTTTCCACTCTTGACCTTCCTCCCCTCATATTAAAAACTTCAAATCCTAATTTCTACTAAACCATAGCAGTCATGTTGGTTAGCAGTTTGAGGGCGTTGTACTCCAGAAAAGGTCACATTTCCAACCTCTGATCATAGTTTACTGAACCAAGTAAACTTAAATAGCATGCCTGGAAACCAAGATTCTAAACCATGGCTAGTATACAATTTGCAATGCTGGCTTACAGGTAAATCACAATTTCCCATAAACCCTGATTGGAAGATTCAATAATAGGAGAAGAGAAAGGAATTCCAAGGGGAAGAAGAAGTTTGCGTTTGGAACTATGGTGCAACATTATTTTGAAACAGCCTCAGGGTTTTGAGACTTTGAGAACACCATCCTCAAAAGCCTATTTGTACCAGCAAAGTGCTTTAGATAAGAACCAAGGAAGGGTGGGTCCCTGAGTTCTCACAGCAGTAATTACATCTCCATCAAGAAACTGGGAGAGATTGTCTATCAATGTAACACATGGCATTAGATATCAGGAAACATCAGGTTATTTCTGTTAACATTGCCCATATACACTAATATGGTAAACAAGACAATAAATTGCTCAAGGGGACTGTAATTTAAAATGCACAGCATGAGCGGGAACTCTGCCAACTTCAGGAGTCAGCAATGAATCAAGAATTTGCAATACGTCTGTCAGCTATATTCTAAACAACAGAATGGACATTGATGTTTTGGGAAACTTCAGACAGCCATCATTTTTCATTTTATCTTTTATAGCACCCACTAGAGAAAAATATAAAAACGTTAGCTCCTCAATATGCACAGTTCTATGAAGAAATCCTAAAGGCATTTGTTTTTGTTCTCTGTCTTTGCTCACTCTACTGTTCCAAGATGTTAACAACAACTCTGAATGTTACCACCACACCAATATAAGCAAATAAATGAAATAATTTGAATTCTAAAATTTACATTGTGCCTTGAAAGAGGTAGAGGGGGACCCTTAAACATCACCAAAAAAAGAGGACAAAATGGGAGTGCAAATTTGTATATATTGTGCATATGCTAATTTATAGTCACAGATGTAAATTTAGAAATAAGATGTAAAATTTAAACAGAATTGCACTATGGATATTTCTGTACAGCACCTGCTGCTCACAATCAAAAGGCACCATGCAGCTATCTTCCTCCCCAATCCATTAATGAATCGTCTCTCATAAGAAAAAAGGTGGAAGGAACAATGGGAGAAGCATGAGACAGTAGAAAATCAAACATTATCATACAATCATAGAATAATTGTGTTGGAAGGGGCCCATAAGGCCATCAAGTCCAATCCCCTGCTCAGTGCAAGAATCCAAATCCAAGCAGATCTGACAGAGGGTGGCCCAGTTGTCTCTTCAGTGCTTCCGGAGTTGGAGTGCTCACCACCTCTTGAGGTAATTGGTTCCATTGTTGCACTGAGTTAAGACATTTTTCCTGCTATTAAGCCGAAATCTGGTTTCCTGTAGCTTGAAATTATTATGTGTCCTGCACACTGGGATGATTAGGATCAGACTACCTGCCAAATATTTTTAAAATGTTATCATATCTTTCCTCATTCTTCTTTTCTCAAGGCTAAACATGCCCAGTTCTTTCCTAATAAGACTTGGTTTCCAGTCCCCTGATTCCCTTGTTGCCCTTCTCTGGCATCCTTCTTAGTGCAGTGTCCAGAATTGGACACAGTACTCTAAATGATGCCTAACCAGCGCTGAATAAAAGGGGACTAGTACCCCATGGAATTTAGAGACCATACTTCTGTTAATTAATCAATATTATCTGGGCCTCCCATAAATAAGGCAGTGCAACTGCCCATTAAAAGCTTCACCTGGAAGCATACTATGTCCCACTATAAAGGGAAATACTGTGAGCAGCTAACTTCCATGAGCTTGCTTCGTCTTCTACTGTCCAGACTCCAACTGTTGATGAGTAGCAACTTCAAGGCCCTCACTACTCATGCTTCTTTACCTGGAAACCAAACTTGGCTGGACAGCTCTTCAAACAAAGACTCCCTTCAACTGAAATGTGCACTCTGACATCCCTCCAACTGTAGAGGAATGACCTCTGTAAAGTAGGACATAGACCATTCTAGATGGTTGTTTTCTTTACCTGTCCCATAAAATCAGTGAAGAAGAGCATAGTAGAAAGGAACGCTGTCCATCCCATCAAATGGCTCACACACAAGCAGCGGTAGTGCGAAGGCATGCTTAGAACGGCCTTGAGGAGGGACCTAATGGTCATTTGCCTCTGGACCTGAAAGAAAGAACATACCAATATTTCGTTTCCACAAATATTTATACAAATTGGTTATCATAGAATCATAGAATAATTGAGTGTGGAGGGGCCTGTAAGGCCATCGAGTCAACTCCCTGCTCAATGCAGGAGTCCATATCGAAGCAGATCTGACAGAGGGTTGTCAAATTTTCTCTTGAGTGCCTTCAGCGTTGGAATGCTCACCACCTCCTAAGGTAATTTGTTCCATTATTGTGCTGCTCTAAGAGTTTTGGCTGATACTCAGCCAAAATCTGGCTTCCTGTGACTTAAGCCCATTATTATGTGTACTGTGCTCTGGGATGACCGAGAACACATCCTGCCCCTTCTTGGTATGACTACCTTTCAAGTATTTGAAAAGTGCTATCATATTGTCACACAGTCTTCTTTCTCAAACCTAAACATGCCCAGTTCTTTCAGTCTTTCCTCATAAGGCCTACACCTTTTGGGTTTTTTAAAATCCCCAATCAATCAATCAATTAATTGATCAAATATATATTAATTTTGAAAGAATGCCTTCCCATTGGGTTATAATGTGCCCAAATGGTTTATAATGCTAAGCCAAAAACAAAACGCAAAGCCCACGTCTAGTCTTCATGTAGTGTAAGCCTAACAATGACAGTGATATATTACCTCCTTTGTCAGAGTTACTACGCCTCTAAATATCTGTTTCTGGCAGTGCAGCCCTGCCTGTGGGTTGCTTCTCACAGGCATCTGGTTGGCTATTGCATGAACAGAATATTAAACTAGACAGATATTTGATCTGATATAAGATTTTTTTTCTTATCTCCATATTGGCAGTTAAACCTGGGTAATCTCTAGAATATTGTGCTGTGAATCAAGAATTGCTATTTGCACATTCTACACTTTTATCTTGATGTATAGCTAGTAATGCTGGGGGATTACATAAGGATGATTAAGGTAAAGAGGAGGAGTTTCCAGGATATATACAAGTCTAACCATGGGCACTAAAATTATAGAACAAATCGATTCCCTGTCAGCTGAAGGCAACCTAAGGATATATCCAGACTGGCCCTTTTGGTGCAGGCTGGTGTGATATAAATAGGGGTCAGTAGAGGTCAGAAGGAGGAGCCATACACCATTTGGTGAAATCTTCATGTCAAAATGACATATTGACCTTAAATCAGTGGTCCCCAACCTTGGGCCTCCAGATGTTCTTGGACTACAACTCCCAGAAGCCTCTGCTGGCCAGGATTTCTGGGAGTTGAAGTCCAAGAATTTATTTTATTTATTTATTTGATTTATATCCCGCCCATCTGGTATATTTATACCACTCTGAGTGGCTAACAACAGGATATATACAATTATAATAATATAAAACCAAAACATTGGTTATTAACAAAACATACCAAAAATCATAAATGATAGGTAGATAAGAAATAGAAAATTAAATTAAATTAGATTAATTTAACATCTGGAGACCCAAGGTTGGGGACCACTGCCATAAGTGATCATCCGTCTCCTTCCACTGTCAGTTGTTGTTCCTGTGTAACTGTCACAGCAACAGCGGCAGCCATCCAATCCCTGCCTAGACCCTGAGAAAGCTGCCTTCTCAAGCAGCTACCTTAATTGGTAAAGAAGGTAAGAAAGTGAACAAGAAGCAACAGTGCTAGTTGGAGGCAGGGGTTTCCATGTGTTTTAAGCCCCCACTACCCTCCAACTTAGCATCACCACTACTGACTCCTGGTCAGCTCTCCCCCCTCCTCCTTTCAAGGCTCTCCCCCCTCCTCCTTTCAAGGCTCTCCCCCCTCCTCCTTTCAAGGCACAAGTGGGGAATTCCCTCATGTCTCCCTACTCCCCGCTTCCATATAACCCACCCAATTCAGCTGGTTCAAACTTGGATATGAAGTCATCCTGATGAGGTTTCACAGCCCCTTTGTTCACACAGTTTGCTTGTAATACAATTTCTTCTTGTGCTCCTGAACTGTCCCAGTTCTATAACAGAGATCCACCCAGAGAAGCAACATTACCAGTGCGGATGGCCTCCTGGAATGTGAACCACCACCACTTTCACACTTGGCAATGTTTATATAAAATCAGTACACGTGGAATTAGCTGACTATGATGGTACTTCCACCTGGAGCTGATATATGACGAGGGCACTTAGTTTCTTGCAGCTAAATCTAGATGAAGGACTCTGTATCCATTTTCTATGTCAGGGTTAGGGTCAATAGTGACAGGGTTTACAGTGGTACCTCGACTTACGAACATCTCCACTTGCAAACGATTCGAGTTACAAACGGCTCTGTTTGCAAAAAGTTGCTTCAACGCGAAGGAAGCCTCGACTTATGAACCAAAAAAAGAGGAAAAAACCCTTTCCTGCCCTTTTTTTGACCTAAGTTCCTCTTAGGTCAAAAGAAGGGGGAAAAATCCCTCCCCCAGTGGTAGAGTACGGATTAACTGGCTTTGCATTAGTTTCTATGGAAACAAATGCCTCTACCTACAAACAGCGCCTCGACATGCAAACGAAAAACAGCAGGTACAGATTAAATGGCTTTCAATGCATTCCTATGGAAAAGTTTGCCTTGACTTACGAACTTTTCGACGTACAAATGCCGTTCCAATATGGATTAGGTTCGTAAATTGAGGTACCACTGTATTCTCCTTCTTTATTGACCTTTGCTATTTTTTCTCTTAGCATCAGCACCATCATAATCCACAAATTGACTGTTAGAGAACACAGGTCCATGAATGGATGTACCCAGAGACAAAATCAGTGTCACAGAACATGCACAAATCACAGATAGTCCACCAACTTTGATCAATGGACTGAAACGTATACCCTCTTGATTTCCCTGTATACCAGCTTAAAACTAAATTTATATTCAGGCAAACCTTACTTGAAAAGAGACAAAAATTTCCAGCCAACTTTCACCAATGTTCAGATGTTGATACGTGGTGGTACAGGCTGATTTAGATTAGATTAGGCATCCTTCAGTCTCGGGAGATTATGGTAACGTCCTCTGAATGGAGGACTTGGAATAGAATAGCATCTGGCTGAGAAGGCCAATTCGAGAATGAAGTACTGTACATGCTGACCTGGTCACAAAATATCCCATCTGCCTCTTCATATTATCATAAGAAGCAATGTGCATATCATCAATTCATTTTCCAGGACTCTGGATGCAACCTTATGCATGTTTATCTAGGATTGCTCAGGCATACTTTTGAATAAACTCATACAGCATCAGAGGGTGTGCAAATTTCACTTTCTTCTGATACCAGTGCTTTTTTAATGAAGAGATTTTGAAAGAAGTGTTTCAAGAGAATACATCAGATGTTTAATCCAGCTGAGAGTGAATCCACAAATTTAGATAGTAGGCAAACTCATTGCTCTCTGAAATCAGATACAATGATCCCTAGGGTCCTTCTCGGCTCTGCAATTCTAAGATGATGATGATGATGATGATGATGATGATGATGATGATGATGATGATGTTTGATGCCAATGGCTTAAATTTGAAAATGAAAATTGACTGCAATCTGTCAATGGAAAGTGAGTTTCCATTGACAGATTGCAGGTTGCCTTCCTGTGGGATCCTGGAATATTAAGCACCATCTAGGTAGGTTTAAGAGTTGATATATTTCAGTGGGTTGGCTGCAGAACCAGGGCCCAGGAGCTGAAATGCCTCCTGGGAGATTGGTCAGTCAAGATCACCAGGACCATGCATAGCCGCTGAGGTTACTTGTCCTGCCACCTTTACAACCCTGAGCAACCAAAACAGAGGACTGGGAAACCATTTCAGAGTACTTGACACTTAGAAAA